ACCTTATTAATTAAGATAAACTCATTATTTAATTTTCTAATTCACAAAAATAAAACGTTATTTTTAAATGTTATGACAGACTTTACTATAAAATGTTTGGTTTATAATCATTTAGCTAAATAAAAATAAATTCTATGCATATTGTCACTCCTTACCACCACGGCTGATTTTGCTGACGAAAAAGCAATATTGGCCCTTCACCCAGATCCTATCAAGACCTCCAATCAACTACAACACCACTTAGACCTTCTAGAAATATGGTACAAAGACTGGGGAATAAAAATTAACCAATCAAAGTCTCAACACTGCACTTTTACACTAAGACATAAAGAATCCTCTCTTATGTACCTGAGCAAATTTTTGCTTCCTCCTATCCAAAATGTTCGTCGTTACCTTGGATTATACCTCGACCGTTTACTAACCTGAGTAGCTCAAATCAGCAACAAACGAACCTCCCTAAATAACAGATTCCGACTACTCAGATATCTTCTCACTTCAAAACACCTCAAATTAAACAACAAAATTCTAATCTAAAAAACCCTACTAAAACCCATTTAGATATACGGCATCCAACTATGGAGCTCAGCTAAACCCTCCAATCAAAACCGAAACCAATATTTTAATTTAAATATCTTCATAAAATCACTAAAGCTCCTTGCTATGTAAATAACCACACACTCCATCAAGATCTTTCGATCCCTCTCATCCAAATAGTTGCCATAACTTCGTAAAAAAATTTCATTCTGACTGCAATACCATCCAAACCCCTTTGTCACCGGCCTATTAAATCTTACCATCCCTGGCGATCCCGGTAGACGATTAAAGCGTAACTGGTGCCGTGACTTACTAGATAACTAAAATCAACTAGATACGACGACGAAGTACCACCAATGGGTGGCCTCTTCACATCAGACATTTTCAACGATCAAAAAATAAAAAATATTGTCACTGTTAATAAAATAATAAATTAACAATATTAATTAAAATTTCGCAATCAATGCATTTTTTAATGATAGGGTAAATTACGGAACTATAATAGGTACCTTTATCCACACAGTATGAAATTAATTATGCTCATTAAAGTTGTTTCTGGGGATAATTAGTTAGGTACGGACCAATGTTAAGCGATAATTAAATGAAGGAAAATGTTTCATAGCAGTCTGCAGAATAGATTTAAACATTTTAAACCAACGACTATCGCCAGCGTTACGACTTATTTACATTACTAACCAGTGTCGTGTCAAAGTTTAGTAGTTGATTATCTTTTCTTTTTTTCTTTTTTAAATAGCAATTAATATTAAATATTCTTTGAATTATTATTATACACGTTATTCCATTGTGTAAAGATAAAAAAGAATGATGGCATTATTTTTTATGATTTAAATCAGTTGAAATCTCGGTAACCATACGCTTTGTAGAAACGTGAAATCACATTTGTTGACTGTGCAGGTTTCAACAATGATATTATGAGAATACTTGAACGTTAAGAGTGGACAAAAGCTCGATACTACAGAGGTAGCATACACTACACAGTATAATATCCTTGAGTGTGAATACATCACAACTACATATATTATGTTACATAGACGACCGCGGTATAACACAATCATAACGTAGGGTCATATTGTATCATCAATAATATCATCTCAAAATATCGAACGTGCTAAACATGTATGATGTAAGTGACACATATTTAGAATTTCTGTCTGCAGCAGATGTGTTTTTCCAAAATATCAAAATCTATAAATATTGTGTGTTACAATGATATCATATAATACTCATATAACTATGCGTGGTAAAATGTCAAGATTAAACTCGTAATATTTTGATAATAATTAAAAATAAACTGTCTAGTAATAATATAATAAATAATGAATGACTTTGAATTGAAATTTAAATTTAAATTTAAAGTGAGAAATGTTCGTTACTTTAAATTAAAAAACCTATCGGGCAAGAACAATTTACCAACTAAATAAAAACAAATTGAAATTATTTATAATGAAATAAAGTTAATATATTTTAATGACTTTTTCATATAGCTGAACTACCTATACCACGTATATATGTATAATTTGTTTCCAAGAAAATATTTTGAATAAAAAGTTAAAAATAGATTTAATGTTACAATATTTATAATTATTTGTTTTAATATAAAATATTTTTTTTTAGAATAATAAGTTTCCTATACTCAATTTTCATAATATTACATTCATTTGAATAAACAAGTATAACATAAAAAAATTGAAATATTTGATATTACATTTTAAGACATTGTGTACTTACATGAAAATTATAAGCTACTTCCTAAAATCTTTGATTGAAAATTTTAATAAACAAAAACTAAAATATTCTTTCTAAATGCCAAAAAGAACCTTGAAGAAAACTTTATTGAATTTTTATATATATGCATTTAGGAGAAGAAAATTAAGTTGTTTTATTTTAATATATTATGTACTTTATATTTGATATAATTTTTCCATACAGGCAAACATTAAATCAATAATAAATAATATAATATCGTTCCAATAACGATTAATTCAAAGATTGGTGATTAATGTATATGATGGAATAACACTAAAAATGTATGTAAAACAAAAAAATTATTAACAAGAAAATATGTATATTACAAATATTATATTAAATACAATATTATGTTTTAAATTTTTTGATTTTTTATGATAAAACATTAAAAGTCGCGTTATATTTTCGCGTATTAATAACTTCACATAATTGAACATTTATTCAACGATAAATTAGTTCACAACGTTTTCGAGCATCTATATGATATATATATATATATATATATATATATATATATATATATATATAAGAGCGTTAACATTTATTATCTGATTATAATAACATTCTTTTACTTTTTATACAAACTAATTAAAATGTATTAAAACATATACTAATTTTATCTTTCCTAGTTTTTAAGAATATTTAACTAAATAGATTTTCCAACACAATTTTTTAATCACATAGTAACTTACAAACAAATTAATTTGTATGGATGTATTACATTTGAATTTAAAGTATAGGCACTGCCATGAAATCATTATATAACACAAAAATGTTTTTAAACGAAAAACACTGATGAGCATTATTTATTAGAAATTAAAATTCTCTACAAAATTAATTTTATTGAAAACTGGCGTTGTCTAAACATTCCCGATTCGACACTTGCTTTTCAAATATTAAGAAAATAATTGAAAATTCTTAACTCCAAGTCTCTCAATTTACTGACTCGATTAAATTTACAAACAAAATTTACCCTAATGTTTGATGTTGGAACTATTATTCTGTACAATACGGCAGTATTAACAGAATTATTTATACGGTATCATTGAAAAACCAATATATTTCTTGATCGCCCCCACTCAGAATCTAAAATCCAGTTTAATATGATTTAAAATGGATTATGCGCGTATTTAAAAATAATTTGTTCGTAGACGGTATACAAGTACATATACGTATATAATAATAACAACAGGCTATTATAATGGGTTCTTTTCCCTGAGGTCGTTTGCATGAACTTATTGAGTCCTATTATAATACCAATTTTCAATAATTCCGTGTAAAAAATTACACTAATGTATAGGTATACTTTGTTATCAAGGTTTTCTGTCAAAATCAACTACATTTGGTTCAACGCGTTTATCAACCTTTCAGCCTTTAGGTATACGTGACACATAAGCCGGATGTCATGTTTTTTTTTTTTTTACTTTTTAGCTTTTCGTATTTATAAATATATTAAACCATTTTTCCTCGCACACATTTCGTATGAAACACGCGATTTTTCGTGATACAAAAAAAAAAAAAAAAATTCTCGTCACATTTTGAGTATGGTACCCACGATAAATTTATTGATACTCAGTTTAAACGTTGACCCATCGAATTATCGAAATCGATGTAATCGCACGAAACTTCATTATTGTAATCTAAACGATCGAAAAAAACACAACGTACGAATAAAAATAAAATACATGTGTATTATGAATGTTTATTTTCGAGAAAAAAATAAAATAAATATTATAATAGGATGTTAGTGAATATTTTCATAACAAAAAATATACCTATACGATTACTTACAGATTTTGATAACCATGTAAAACAATTAATTTTATGTCATAGGCCGCAGTCATATACTGGTACATATTATATTATGACTATTCAAATGTCGGTATACTATCATAATATACAGAATGATATTTTTTTATCTAAATAGTTTTTTTTTATCGATACATATGCTTTTAAAAAAATTTTTTTCTATTTTGAAAAAATGTTTGCTATATACTTTTATGGATTTTTTCCAGCTTTTTATCTTTTTTTTTTCATCAGATTATTTAAAAGATTCGAGATATGAAATATAGTACATGAAGTGGATAGATGATCATTAGTATTATTATTATTAGTTATTATTTACATACATGGCATTTATAAAAACATAATCTTACGCAAATCAATTATCCTATATCGTAGACAGAAATCGCAGATGCGCAAAATGTACTTAAAGCTTCTATCATAATAATATTATTTAATTGGTCTTTAAAATTCGTTCTCATATATTTTCAATTAACGTCTAGCAATATGTATTAAAAATAATGTATTTACTTTCCTTCAAAAGCATAAGCACTCATGTTTATTTTTAAAATCAAACATTTTTTTTTTTTTTTTTTGTTTGAAAGATGTAATAAGTCACGTGCAATTTTAATACTTAAAAATAACGTTCTTACTTTGTCAACCTTGACGCCTAATCATTTTATCTACTTTTGAATTTTAAACTATAGCCTGTTAAACGTTTCAGTTTCATATCTCACAGTGATATATTTTCTTAAAAATATATCAAACAATCAACTTGTAGTTTTTTTAGAATTCAAACTTTCAATGAGCCGATTTAATGCAAACTTTGCTCCTTGCTTGAGTAGGGTTTTCACTTATAATATTAATGATAATAATAATTATAATAAATATTATGAATATGCCTTATCCGGCCTTACCCTGACAATCGGTACCGCGGGCATAGATGCTGTCCGTCCACGATCCGTGATCGTCGTAGATCTCCGATTGCTGAATGCCGACGACCGTTGTAAACTTCTCCTGGGTGAACTTCCTGATGGCCTGGCACGTAGTGAACGGTTGGCACCGATGCCTCTAAGCTGTCTGGCTGCGGTCGGTGGCCGGATGGATGATTCCGTGGACGACGACAACCGCGACGGCGATGGTCTTCGGAATCGGTGATCTAATATGCGTTTCTCTTCCAAAACGGCTTCCGGTGGCGGTTCGTCATCCGGCCGGTAATCACCTCCATAAAATGGCATCGATACGGACGTTGGCCTGTTCAAAGACGAACAATAATGATGTAATATAATTATTGATTGATATTGATAAAGTTTCTGAGTATATGATTACAATTCCCCCGTTTATTAATATTAAATGTAAATATTAATACCATTCCCGGGGTCTATTACTTGAGTTCAAAACATTGATATCTTAGCATTTAGGAAAACTACAATAATTAGATTAAAACTAACTAGAAAACATTCTATGTCATACATTATTTTCGACGATTATTAAGAATATTGATTTTTTTTTTTTTTAATTTCAATTTTTATGACCGACAAATTTTAATCAATTGTTTTTAAATACGTGAAAAGTGATATATTTTAAAAATATTACTTGAGTGAAAAACTTTTAATCAAAAATATTTCCTCGAAGAAAAAAAAGATTTGAGCTATGTCAATGTGTTAGACCTCTATGTGATACGTGTTTGGAATTCGGATCACCGACAATTAAAAATTCTAGCATACCTATACCGCAATAAATCTTCATGGACATGATATATCGTGCACGTTTTAGCTAATTTTTTAAAATATTATTTTCAAAAACCATGTATAAAATGTTGTTGATGAACAATAATAATATGCGATATCGAAATTACGAATATAAGTTTTGTACAACATTGATAACAATAAAATTTGAAATGTATAGTACATTTTAATCGTTATAATTATGTCCTACATAAAATAATATCGATGAACATTGCCATCCGAAGAAATTATGGAAATTTTATCCAATTCAATTGCCAACTTCCTTGCTAAAAAGGAACGGTGGATCTCATTGTTAAAATTTGTTACTAAATAATAGTTATACATCTGAACATGAATGTAAGAGAAATATTTTAAACCAATTTATTTGTACTTTCATATCGTGTGTATGCAAAATTATTGTTTGAGATTACGAAGACGTACCAGAACAATTTTAATTATTTTACTAAAATATGACGCATATTATATTATATTATACAAGTTTAATAATTGTTTATACTTGCGTAGTTGTTTTTCTTAAAAAAATTTATTAACATGAAAACAAATCATATTATATTATATTAAAAAATTATTATACATCCGATAATAATATATTAAATTTATAAATTTAAAAAAAAATAATAGCAATAAGGGTTATTCCTAACAAATATATACAATATATTTTATTATTGGGTAATAATGATTAATATTATTTTTTCTTAGTGTTTTATTTTTTAAATAAAATAGATAAAAATTCAAAATTTGGAATTAATAGTACAATAAGCAAATTAGATCGTATATAAGCAACAGGTAGATTAACGCAATATTTATTTTAAAAATATATTAATATTTTAGATTTCACTATATTAAAAATATAATAACTTTTTATTAGAACATAAGAATACATACATTTAAAATAAATATTACGTATATTCATGTGATGCTAGATAAATATGATTTTGCTTTTTAATAATTTTTAAAACGATATATTATTTTTTAGTTGTTAATTTATTAGATATTAAAAAGAATTTATAAGTTAAGCTTTTAATAACTATTCAATAATTTATGAACGTATAAAACTAATAATTATTATGTGTCCAGTGAGTCACTATTATGATTGTGTAATATTTTAATTCAATGACCTATTATCAATTTTGTCAAAATATTAATCTCAAATGTATATAAAAATTAATTGGACCTATGCTATTTTAATATTTTTATATAGATATTATAAGAAAAATGTATTAAAGATCGTGTGTTAAATTTTTAAAAATTTTGACCCAACGAATAATTTTTTTTTTAAAAATTTAAAGAAAAAATAAAATTTGATTTTCATTACTTTAAAAAAAATAAATATTTTTACTCCCCTATAAGGTAAAAATGGACAGAAAAAACACACATCATGCAAAATCAATAAATTCATCGCTCCTTTGTGAATCTAAAAGACAATTTATTATTAAATGTTACATTCCATTTTCAACAGTAGAATTCTATATCTGTTTCAATAAACGATATTAGCTTTTAAGCTAATATTTTAATACGACAATTTAATACTTTTCCTCATCGTTAATTAAAATATAACAAATACAGGAACATAATCTCTGGCCAATTATATGTTATCTGGTTATTATACATATAATTAAAGCCATATTTATGAAACGATTCATATCCTGGAAATTTATTTCAAAATAATTATTCAACAAATCTATCCCATCCAGCTTTGCAATTGGATATAATGTTAGAGATATCATTAATTTACTATATATATTTAGCTTATGGCATATTTTAGATTTAATAAAAAGTAGTAAGGTACTTATTTCTTAACATATCCTTATTTTTTAATATATATATATATATATATATGAATGTATGTATGTTTATGTATGCATGTATCTTACAAATTCATACTATGCCGTTCTTCATAAAGTATATTAATATAATGTAAATTTATAGATTTAAATTAATTTGATTAGGTATGCTTGAATAATAATTTTACATTTTATTTGTAAAATTAACGACAATGGGTACACTTTGTGGCACTACTCGATTAGGGATTCAATTTCATTATTGTTGTTTATATTTTAATTCTGAACAGTGTGACGAATGCATTAATTTTACAATGATGTGTATTTGTATTTCTTATTTATTTTTTTGTGAAAACACTCTCTACAGTAGAAAAAATAAAAAAGTAAATTTCAACAAAATTGGATATTTAAGCAAACAATGATGATTTTATTAATTTTTGTAGTCATTCGACAATAATTGTATATTCTTAAAATATGTTCGTATAGTAAAATATGTTACTATGCACAATAAAATTTTAAAATAATTATTATCATTTAGTATGTACATTGTACAATGTACATGACTGAATAATAGTTTATAGTTAGTAATATAGGCTAACAGGCCGTCTCCGTTTAATCTCGTTTTTTTTATACAATGATTTATCACTAAATTCAAATTAAACACATCTACTAACGGTACAGTACAATAAATACTTGTTTGTCAGACTTTTTTTTTGAAATATTTCTTTATAAAATACATTTAGTATTTGAAATGAAAAAAATATAAATCGTTTATTTGCAATAATTAATAATTAATTACACAAAGTATTATAATTTAGTAATTATTACGAGTAACACACAATAATAATTCAAACTCATGTTTATATGAAAGTATAGTTTATAGCAGGGGTCGGCAACCCGCGGCCCGCGAAGCAATTTTTAATGGCCCGCACAAAAGTGGTTAATTTTTGTCCAATAACATTTTTCATATAATTTTCAATATTATATAATTCTTTTTCCTTTATAAATAAAATCTAATCTAACCGTTTTATAATAGTAATACAATTATAAGTATTATATCATAATATGTAATTTTTTTTTTAATGTGGTCCTTGATGAACGATTGAAAAAAAAATGGCCCACGTGGTTAAAAAGGTTGCCGACCCCTGGTTTGTAGGCATAGTCATTGAAATGGTATACAAATAAATATAATAATATTAAATTTCTTAAAAAAAAAAATTAATTATTATTTCATTATATCACAAAAAATTTTAATAAACGATAGGAAATAACTTATAAAAAAAAAATGTGAATTGCTTGACATTCGTTCATAACCCTCGCATTTTTAATTAGTAAAAATCTAACATCCATATGCGCAACGTCTAGTTAATTTAACTACTCTATACTCAATATATCATTTAAGAACGCTTTTCAAAAGTTTTCAAAACATATGAAATGCTTCATCAATATTAAACAACTTATAAAAAACTCAGAAAACAATAAAAATCCAAGATATTCTTGCTGAAATGAATATTGTAAATAACATTTAAATGTTCCACTAATCTATATATATATATATATATATAATTAATTATATGTATTAATTATCCTATAATTTCATATATACATAATATTTTAATGCACACAGTGCTATTAATCTTAGACGTTGAAGCCTAATATTAATAATAAAAATATTCTAGTAAAATGTAACATTATTATTAAGAAAATTAGTATACTTTATTATATTTAAGAAGTTGATTAATGTAAGATAGCATTGGTTTTATACCCTATAATTATTCTCGGATTAACTTGGCATAATAAAGTTGCTGGAGCATAATACAATTTATTCTTAAAGATGGTTATAATTTATTCAAAATACATTAATTATTTGTGGTTTGTGGTAAATTTACCTTTCAAACTTTCACTATTGTATTAATTTAACAAAATTATTATTTTAAAAATATAAATTAATTTTTACTTGGAAAACAAATTTAAATTATATATATATATTTATTTATTTATTATAAACAGATATTAAAGAATTTGATAAAAAAAATTATCCGATTTATTTAATTACATAATATATATATAATTATCTACAAAAATAATAAGTCATTCTATTATATTTAGTTATTAAAACACCAAAGCTAATCTGCAATTTGGAAATACTATACCTTGTTCTCAATACTGTTAATGGTTTATACACAAGAAAATTGTATATTCCTGCTCAGTTCTTCTTAGTTAAAGTGTATTTTAAATTCAATATACATCAAAGAAACTATAAAAGCATTTTATTTATGTATTTACATAGAATCGTATACAATTTTATAACTATTAATAATTATGAATACGTTTTTAATTATTTTATAATGAAGAAATAAAAGATTTTATTATTTTATAAACAGCAAGGTGTAGTATTTTTAAATATTATTTTATTGAAACCGTTAAAAGCGCCAAATATTGTTATTTATTTAAATTAATATCAAGTATACAATATATATTAGTTAAAATACAAATGTATTATTTTATAAAAATAGCTTATTAAAAATTATTTTCAATGGATATCATAAATAATTGTATTTATCATTAATATATTTATAACACAAATGGTTTGTTTTATTAACTTTTAAGGTATTTTATATCACACGAATTTAATATTAGAACGTTTACTGCTCACAGTAAAACAATTTAAGAATTATACTCATAAAAAAAAGTTTTTATCTTATTTTTTTACAATACATCAATTAAACTTAAAGCATAATCTAATAGATTTAAACACTAAATATACAAGTTAACTCAACAATCATTCTTGCTGTGATTTATTACCGTTAATTATTACTTCTGAGGTTTATACCACCACTATCATTAAAATTACAGAATAAGAGAAATAAATTGAATAAAAATGAATTGAGATAGTAATTGTTGTATCATTTTTTTTTTTTTTTAATTATTTAGTATTAAGTAGGTATTATTTACTTAAAATATTTGAGTACCTAGTGAGTATCTACTATATTTATACAGCTATACAAATGCATCTTCCGTTGTCAAATCATTTACGCCAAATAATGTAAAATATGCCCTAATAAAATACTCACTAAATAAATCACCAGGCTATGATCGCATTACTGCGAAAGTAGCCAGATCCATTCCATCTAGAGCTATTGTCCACATAATTCACATATTTAATGCTTCACTTAGACTTTCATATTTCCCTCTACTTTGGAAATTCTTCACTATGATCTTGTTTCCTAAACCCTAATAAACCACCAAACAGTCCTTCATATCATCGACCTATCAGCCTTCTATTTTTTTTTCGCTTAAATACTTAAACGATTAATTCTAAAACGTATTATACCCATCATTACTGAAAAGAATATTGTTCCAAATACCCAATTTAACTTTAGTGAGTCTCACTCGACCATACAGATAGTACACAGAGTTGTAGATGCCATTTCGTATTCTCTGGAAAAAAAAAACTTCATTGTAATTGTGTGTTCCTAGATATTTCACAAACCTTCGACAAGGTATGGCACGATAGCCTTTTATATAAACTTAAGAGATTTGTTACGTCCACTTACTACTTACTCATTAAATTCTACTTAACAGATCAACATTTTCAAGTTCGCTACAGATCCGCTCTTTCTAATATAGCTGCTATAAATGCTGGAGGGCCTCAAGATGACATCTTATCTTCTATTCTTTATTACATTTTTGTTTTTGGCCACATGTGGCCACAATGCATCAGAAGCTAACTACGCTGATGACAAAGCTCTCATTTCCATTAATAATGATCCAAACTTAACGTCAATTAATCTTCAAACTCACCTTAGCGCTATAGAAAAATTGTTTATCAAATAGTGGTTTAAAATAAACCAAAGTAAATCAATTCACACAAACTTTACCTTTAAACCTATCCCTTTTCCTGGAGTCTTTCTATACATTACTCCAATTTTTTACTCTCCAAGTATCAAATACCTCGGCCTTACTCTAGACCAAAGACTAACATGGGCTCTTCACATAGAACTGAAAAATTAACATTAAATAATTGTCTTCGCATGCTTAAGTCCTTATTATGATTATGTAACAATAAATACATCTCAATCAGAAAAAAACTGCTTATACATAAAACGCTATCGAAATCACTATGGACCTACGATCTTCAGCTCGGGGAAATGCGAAAAAGTTAAATATCTCGAAAATCCAAATCTTCCAAAATATTGCTCTTAGAAAATTAATGAATGTTCCAAACTACATGTCAAATCATACACTAGTACACTACACACAGATTTAAAACTTAAGTCAATAAATCATGAAGCAAAAATCTTTCATGAAAAATTTTACAGCCGATTAAATAATCATCCAAATTAATCAATAAAAAACTTGGCCACTCACACAATACCAAGCAATCCTCCGAGACGTTTGAAGCGTAAATTATATCGCGATCTTTTAAATTAAATTAAATAACAAACAAATAAAAAGTGTCATCAATGGGTGACTTCTTTTTTCAAAAACTCATGACCTGTTAACTCTTATTATATATTTTTATTGTGTCTAATATAATTTGATATCGATTTTTTATTACATGTAAAAATAAAAAAATAAAAAGTTATACAAATTTTTTCCTTTTTGCAAGTTGAGAATGATAAACAGTGCAGAATTATATATTCGTATATTAATTAATGGGTTTCATGTATGCAAATTATAAATTTCTCATTTATTTATTTAATTTGAGCTTCAAAGTAATTTAATTTAAATAATTCAAGCAAACTATATTGTTTTTTATATCCAATTAAGAAGTGCATAATGGATATTTAAATAATTGAATTTAAACATTATACTTGTTCAAGATTGGTATATAAAGTTAAGTTCCAATTTTAACTATTTCTTCGAATTAATTTTCATGATACGAATTAAAATTTGAATTATTTATCTGGTAAATATTTATAACTTATTTAGTAGCGTACCCTTTAAATAATCCATATAGTTTCTTTATACTTATTCGTTTTATAAATCTTAAAAAGTAAATTATAAATCTCAAAAATCAACAAATATGAAAAATTGGACAATCAAATATTGAAATATTCAACTTCAAATAGTCCATGAAAAAAAAAAAAAATTATAAGCAACTTATACGTACACAAATGACAACTCAAAGAAAAATATATTTTTAAAAACGAAGGTATTTAAGTTAAAGTTATATTTCTGAAACCTAACTTCGGTCAATTTTTACCTAACTACAACAATTCTATGTATAATTGTTTTAAAATATTTCTAAAATCATTAGTTCGATTGTATAATACAGGTAAACACGAGAAATATGTCACGGAATGTAATACGTTAGATAAAATAAATATTTAATAAAACGCTTCATTTCCTCAAAATATATACACTTTGATATAAATGTAAAAAAACTCCTTTAAAAAAAAAAAATCGATCGTTATTTCTTTCATGGGTGATATTGTACGCATATTAGAGTAGTTTATATTCACTTTTTTACTCTTTGTATGCGGTTTGTGAACATATTATACACAAACGAAACACATACAAATTTCATTTTATGTTTACTTATTCATTGTTTAATGTAAAAATAAATAATTAATTTTATAAATCATATACACAAGAATTATATTTGATAATATTCACTTTGAGTTTTAGTAAAATCTATCCAAAAATTGATTCTCAAAGCAACGAACGAATCTAACAATTTTTTTTTTAATTTACAGAAAATTAAGAATATGTAAACAACAATTTTTTTAAATACATTTTAAATATAGGTACCAGAACATTTATAAAATATCACATTTTAAAACTAATGCGTAGTTAGAAAAACTTTACAGCTCGTTATCTATATATTCTTGCTCAAATAACCAGCAGATTAAAAGTTTTATGCAACTGAGCATTTAAGTACTAAATATATCACACCTTCAATTTAGCCAAAATAATTTGGTTAAATAAAACGTTGAAAAATATAAAATAAACAATTATTATATATTCGCCATTAGTTTACTACTAACAAGGTTATTCTATAAAAAAAAAATTTCAAACCGTCTTGTACAGTTATTTTTTGTTATTAAATATTGTTACGCCTCGCTCAGTTTTTGACGATATTTTTTCTATAATTCGTATGATTAAACTACTTTGAATTGTTAGGTTTGGTTAGTTTCATGATTTTGTTTGTCTCAAAATCATAGTGAAAAAAAACGGATTTGAATAACACAAAATACCGTACGTACTATTGAATCGCTGTTGGGGAGTACCTAACTGCGGCAGGAAAGGTAAAAAAAAAAATTTATACAATTATATCATCGCTGCGGTAATAATTATTATGATATTACTGTACTGTACAACATACAACTAGCCCTGTCGCCCGCAGTCCAAGTACACGGGGGACGTAAGTATAACAATAAACACGCATACCTGTAAAATGTCATCATCGATAAGAATGGCAAAAAAAAAAAAAAAAAACCAATATCGGTAACACACGCACGCTCCGGTACACGACGATACAGACGAATCAAATGAAATACATGACAATAGTGTGCATAATAAATCACTGTTTATGAATTCTAGAATGACTGAGCACGCGACGGACACAAGGTGTGAGGGTCACGCAAACCGCTCTACCCACAGAACAGACGGTACTGGCGGCCTCGTGCGCGATCGCATCAGCTTCTGTTTGGACGCTGTCGGCGGTAAACGGGCGCATGGCGCGCCCGTGGTGAGGTCGTTTTGACGGCGTGGAGGGGACCGAGGGTGAACACCGTACGATAAGGATGCTCACCAGAGGCTGTTTGGGATTGTTTTGTCCGCCAGAAGGGAGGGTCGCGACAGACTTGAAGTTTCGAGAACGGTTGGAGAAAAAAAAAATTTTTAACATAATTAATGTTGTACTTACAAAGCAATTTAGCTTGTTTATTTATGTTTTTTTTTTTTTTTCATCTTTTACTCGATACACGCTCATAAATACTGAAAGGTTCATCAATATCCTAGTACAATTTTTCCGCGGACGTAATTAAAAATTAATCGTTTGGTCGTCGAGTGTGATTTCTACCGATCCACGACATATTGGACCCAACTCGTTTAGCTGGTCGTTTTGACAATTTCAAACGGTATAGAACAGGTACGAGGAGACGTTTTCATTGTTACTCACGTCGTCATTTACAGGGTAATTTTGTAATTAATTGTTTATAATTTATTTTTAAAATATTCTGAACTATTAGTATATATACAGAATATGACCAATTTCTAAATCCCACTCACAAGACCGCAAGTATGCCACTGCATACTGTAGCGGTTGACGTGGGACTGATGTGTATGTGTTCCTTGCGTATTAGCGCTCACTACGACCAGAAAATCATAATCATCCACCGAGGCTATTGACGTAACGTAGAATTCATCTTTAATTTTGAAAAACATTTTATTTAGATGTATTTCAATATTTTGAAAACAAATAAACTCGTTGTATAATTTGGCAATATTCGGTCTAAAACTTCGGGCTATAACGAGTTATCGAAAACTACGTCACCATAATGTAGATATTCGTGCAGACAATGGGTTAACCTGGGAATATCATATTATCGTTAAACGACTAATGCTGCAAGGCGCTATAGAGATGGTACTTTATTTTGAACGTGTCAAATAGCATTCTACATCGTCTTAACGGTGTTCCGCAAGTATCGCGTATAGCTGCAGTTAGGTAGGCGTGAGCCCTAGAGGTAAGGAACTTATGCACGGGAACGTGTACCGCCAGTCATATCGCTATCTCAAAGCGATTATATGACCGAAATCTACCATTAAAATTTTACACGTAATATTGTAACCACGATAACGATGGGTATAGTGATTAGCAGCGCAGTGCAGGTTTGTTGGCCAAACGCCACCGTGTGAATCTATGTGTTGGTGATGTAGCGTATCATTTTTAAGAAAAAAATCGTATTATAATCTATCAAGTGTATTTGTGCGCTGGTAATGGAGGTATACGAGGATAATTTAGATCCACGCAGATTACAAGGATTTAAGAGGTATTTTAACAAAAAAAATATATCTAAAAACCAATGGTGATATAATGTACGCTCTCCTATAAAGCGATATACGTAAGCGACGTATACATCGACCAAGACACAGAACCCATAAAAGATCTGACTTTATTGAGTTTTATATGACCCGGACCATTATTGTTACACAAAAACGATAAATCAAACATTCAACCTGCCTCCACTGAAATGGTGTTCTACTGAACACATGTATAAAACATAGGTATTCGTCAAGACTATTCAGTATTTTTCATAAGTAATGCTTTATTCGAATATCATGTAGATACATTAATATATTCTGTTAAACGTATATACTTAAGTGTTCTAAGATTAATGTACAAAAAACGCACGTACTACGTCTTAAAATTTCATGAATGGTGCTTAATTTTGCTTAAAACATGGTAGATGTTTTTTATTTTACATAACAATTTTTGCCATTCTTTTTTTACAAAGAAAGAGAGTTTGTGTGTTCGTATTTAAAAATATTACAAAATGATTAACAATTATGCAAATATACGTACTTTTTATGTAAAATCAACCGAAAAATAATTGTTTGAAAACAAACACGACTTTTATATTGTAAAATATAATAAAAGATGAACTTAATATTTATTTAAAGAATTTAGTCAGATTACAATTTAATTGCTTATACGCTTTGTAGCATTCACAATAGAATAATTAAAACTTTAATCAATGATATTAAATTTTTGTAAATGTTTGCTTATAGTCCATAACTTTAAAAATTAAAAAGCTACGTTAAGAACTTTTTAAAATATTATGATTACAATCCTATAAATAATAATTATTTAACTTTATATTCGTTTATATAATATTATATTAATCGTTCTTGTTATAATAATTAACAGCTCAAAATAAAATTATAAATAAATTAAACAATTTCATTCATTTATATTATTCTCTTGATAATATCAGTCTTATATTTAACTAAATGAAAGTCATACTATTTCGAAGGCAATTTATTAAAATATTATAAAGTTAGATACCTTTGATAATGATCTGCAACACAGTTCTGTATCTATTTTGCCTATACAAAACGCCATTTACTATATTTTTTATTTATATATAATAATAAAAAAAAATATAATATGCTAAAATAATAATTTCACGCATATTTCTTTATTTTATTGATTTAAGATATAAACTATAAATATATTTTATTTTATTAATATATCTGTATAATTTTAAATTGTTATTATTTTTTTTTTTTTTTGGTAAACATGTTGATAAGTTTACCAAAAACACAAAATCCTAACTAATAATTCAGGAATTGATAAAAAATATAAAACATAAATTAATTCAAATAAAATAGATGACGTATGTATATTTAATTACATTTAATGACTAAAAAAATATATCACGTGATCACGTTAAACCATCGCTATAAATTCCTGCTGAATAAATTAAAAAGCATAATAAACATCTTGATTTTTTCCACAATTTATTGAATTGCTTTTGTTCTTACAATATTACAGAAAATTATTAATAATAAACTAATATTTATATTCAAATTTCAATTATAAAATTAAATTAAATGTGAAAACTAGAATTTTTGATGAAGGAATAATTTTATTGATTATGGTAGAGATTGCTAGTTACAGTAAAGAAAACAAATAGAATAGCAAGACATATAAATGTTTTATAAAAAATAATTACCAACAAAATATTTAACACAACTAACTGATAACCAAGCAACTTCATGTACGACATTTATAAAAACTGATTATGAATTAATTTCTCTAATATAATATAAAAAAGATAAAAAATAATTTCATAAAAAAATAGCAACGGCTTTTTTTTTTTAAAAATTAGACAGATAGAAAGAGGATTTACAGTTAAATGTATCAAATGAAAATAAAGTTATAAAAAAAAGAAAAATATCAAATAAATAAAGAAAACTCTAGTGAAAAAATGTACGAAATTACAAAGAGAAACACAATATGAAGTCAAAGAAACCAAAATTAGAAAAATAACAATCTACAAAACTAGACATTTTTAATAAATAAAAGTATTATGTTCTTACCGGTAAACATAGCAATATAATAAATGTTGATTCAAATATTTGAAAACTAAAAGTACTAAGTTAGCTCGAGGCAATAAAAATAAAAGTTCCAATATTAAAATTTTAAAATTTGGAAATTCATTGGACTATAATTTAAGCATTTTGCAAATATTAATATTATATTGGTGTTGGCTTATTATGTTAAACAACGTTAACTTTTAGTATTAATTGTTTGTTGGCGTAAACCAAAAATATTTCATTTACCTAATAATTTGAGTTCATTATTATGGTAGCGTACTTTCATATAATTTTAATTTACATAATAAATTATAATAATTATTTTTAAAATGAACTCTGTTGCATGCGACGAATTAATAAATTTCATAATACTATAGCGATTTGAAAAAAATATTTTAAAATATAATAATATATTTAGAACTATGTAGTTATATACTTATTATGCTTAAACGAATTAATGCATAAAAAAATAAATACATTTTAACTATAGTTTGTTATTACATTCGAAGGTATAGAAGGTTATAGAACTTTGAATGATTAATAAAATGAAAACTATATTTTCTATTAATATAGTAATTAATTAAAAATATTAAGCAGACAGTTTAATTTCAAAATATATACTTATCTATAATAATATAAAAGTAAATTATATGATAGTTAATATAGGGAGTATATTATTATGATTATTATATATAAACACATTAGTTCAATATAGCTAAAATATTTACTCAACTTATAGAAATAATATCAGGGCAATGATCAAAAAGACTATATAGGTAATTTAAAGATTTACTTAAAGATATATATTTATATATATATAGAATACGATGTATCTTACCATGTTTTTTCAAAGTATATACCCATTATACTAACTTTCTTATTAATAATAATATCGTCTGTTTAAACTTAAAAACTTACCTAAATATTAGTTTAAGACATTAATTAATAAATAAGTTATTCAACTTTTAAAAATTTAAATAAACTAGCTTATATTATTTCAACAAAATTAACTATAAAAAAAAGTGTTGATAAGGAATAATAGTATAGTGAGACAATGAGTTACTCTTTATACATGGTATTAAATATAATATTCAAAATTAAAAATGAATCAAAATATTAACTAAATATTCAAATTAAACTCTTTGTTATAAATACTAAGCTAAAAAATAAAAATATAATTTTCATGTTCAGTAAACAATTTAATTGTATTTTAAAATTATATTAAATGTAGTTATAAATTATAATTCCTGCTTCATAATCAGTAAAATTTCAAATATTAAATTCAATATAAATTAAAAGAATGATAAATGCTAACTATAGACCTATTGAAACATCGAAGGTAATAACTAAAAGTTGACGAAGGATGTTTGCTACCCGCACCCTTTGGTTCTTTGGTTAAGCCTTGTTTATAATCCTTAAATGTTGGCAATATTAACTTACCAAATTGAATTATTTACAGCATATAGTATTTACGCACACAAACTTATTATATATGATAAATATCTACTAAGTTATTTCAATGATATTATTTATTCATAACAATATG